CTTCCTTATAGTCCAACTCTTGCAGCCATACATGATTACTGGGAATACCATTGCTTTGATTATGCGGACTTTTGTTGGCAGGGTGATGTCTCTACTTTTTATCATGCTTTTTAGGTTCGCCATCGCTTTCCTCCCAAGGAGCAGGCATCCTTTAATTTCATAGCTGCTGTCACAGTCTGCGGTGATCTGGGATCCCAGGAACGTGAAGTCTGTCACTACTTCCACGACTTCTATTTGCCAAGGAGTGATGGGGCCGGATACCATGATCTTAGTTTTTTTGATGTTGAGCTTCAAGCCCACTTTTGCGCTCTCTTCTTTTACTCTGAGCAAGAGGCTCTTAAGGTCCTCTTCACTTTCTGCCATTAGAGTGGTATCGTCTGCATATCTGAGGTTGTTGATCTTTTCCCCAGCAATCTTAATTCCCGCTTGTGATTCATCCAGGCCAGCATTTCGCATGATGTACTCTGCATATATATTAAATAAGCAAGGTGACAATATACATCCTTGTTGTACTCCTTTTCCTATGCTGAACCAATCAGTTGTTCCGTATCCGGTTCTAACTGTCGCTTCTTGGCCCTTATACAGGTTTCTCAAGAGACATGTGAGGTGGTCTGGTACTCCCATCTCTTTAAGGACCTGCCATAGTTTGTTGTGATCCACACAGTCAAAGGCTTTAGCATAGTCAATGAAGCAGAAGTAGATGTTTTTCTGGTACTCTCTTGCTTTCTCCATAATCCAGCGAATGTTGGCAATTTGATCTCTAGTTCCTCTACCTCTTCGAAACCCAGCTTGTACTTCTGGCAGTTCTCTATCCATGTACTGTTGAAGCCTAGCTTGTAGGATCTTGAGCATGACCTTGCTAGCGTGTGATATGAGTGCAATTGTGCAATAGTTTGCCATTCTTTGGGATTGGAATGTGGCCACTGTTGCGTTTTCCAAATTTGCTGGCAAATTGAGTGCAGCACTTTAACAGCACCATCTTTTAAGACTTTGAATAGCTCAGCTGGAATACCATCACCTCCACTAGCTTTATTGTTAGTAATGCTTTCTAAGGCCCATTTAACTTCACATTCCATGATGTCTGGCTCGAGGTCAGTGATTATACTGTCGTGGTTGTCAAGGACATCGAGGTCTTTCTTGTATAGTTCTTCTGTGTATTCTTGCCATCTTTTCCTAATCTCTTCTGCTTCTGTCACAAAGGTGCTTGGCAGTGCAATCGTACATACAGTCATACCTTTTGAAGCCCACTAACTTCAATAGACTTAGGAGGATGTAACTGCTTTTAAGACTGCAGTGTAAGGCTCCGATCATACACTAAATCCACTTTCAGTCCACTTTCAATGCACTCTTCAACTGTATTTTACTATGTGAACTGGCAAAATCCAATTGGAAAGTGCATTGAAACAGGATTGAAAGTGGATTATTTAGCGTGTGTGATCACAGCATAAGAAAGTAGAAGTATTCTTACATGATGGTCACTGAACAAAAAACAAGTACAGAAGTGCCTATCCTTCCATTTTAATTTAACACAGAAAAGTAAAAACCTGTTATAGGCTTTTATTGACTTAGCTTTTGAATACCTGAACCAAAGCCTTGAGTTGTTCTCTAAATAATTGGATGTAAGCGGACAGAGTATGTGGGCCAAAAATAGTGGATGCTCCCTCGTACCGTTGAATCTACAAAATAAAACAGAAAGACATCTGGATTACTCAACATTGCTTAGCCCCAGAATTGTACCAGACAGAAATCAGACTCTGCACACTACATGCTGGGTGTCCAATCTATCCCAATTATCCCTTGGGTTCGTTAATTCTAAGTTTTTCCCAATTTTTTTTTTTTTTGCAAAAACATAAAGGTATTTTTCTTCACAGCTCTGTAGCATTTAGTCTCAGCCATGCTGCTAGTTTGTTTACCTGATATTCTTCAAACGTTGTTATATAATGGGTATAAACACTGCATAGGCCTGCCAGTATAACATGCATTCCCGGGCTCCCTTGGGCTTCGAGTTCCTACGAAAAATGAACCCACATTGTCTAGTCAGCATTCAGTAGAAGAAACACTACTGCATCAGTATATGCACATATACCAGAATCTGTAAAACCCACAAAGAATGTAAAAACCCTCAGCATGCATTTGCAAGAGAGGGTGGTTTGGAACTAGACTCAAATTTCTGCTAATGAAGAAAGGTGAGATAATAGTCCCCTTAGGTAGGGCAGTATGGCCAAGTTGCCCGCTGCGCCATGCTAGGGCATAAAACACCCGCATGTGCTAAAAACCTGAGGCCAGAATAAGCTGAGGCCAAGAAGGCAGGAAGCAGCAAAGCCTTAAGAACATCTCCATTACTTGAGGCCTAAATAGTAAATAAATATAAATAACTCAGCTGGAAAACTCAACTGTTGTAAGGTTTTTATAACTTTTTTTTTTTAAACTGGAAACTACATGACATATTTTAACAACTTCTTCTGCAGAACCATTGTTCCTCACAGAACATACAACATCTTCTTTCTTAGGACTACCTATTCCTGCTCCTGGTGCTGGAAAGTGCTGTGAAGTCACAGCCAACTTATGGCAACCCTGAAGGGTTTTCAAGGCAAGGGGCATTCAGCGGTGGTTGGCCATTGCCTGCCTCTGCATAGTGACCCTAGACTTCCTTAGTGGTCTCCCATCCAAATATTAGCCAGAGCTGGCCCTGCTTAGCTTTTGAGATCCAACAAGATCAGACTAACCTGAGCTGTCCTGGTCAGGGTTTCCTGTTCCTAACAGGGCCTAAATGCATGTTTTGATTCCCCTGGTCCTCCCTAGGTCCACACAATCAAATGTGTACTGTGAGTTTCATGCTGGAACTTAATCCCAGGCCCAATGCAGACTGCAACCATAGGGCAGGGCCTTAAGCCCCCCAACACCATTTTCCTAACCTGGAATGGCCTGGGCGGGGGGTTGCTGTTTGCCTCTCTGGGGGGTCTTATGGGACAATAATGCCATCTGGTCAGAAGATGGTGTGTGTGGGGGGCCTGCTTAAACCCTGCTTCTCACGCACTGTGGTCCTGATCCAAACTGGTCACCACACCTCAAAAAGGATATTATAGCATTGGGAAAAGTGCAGAAAAAGGGCAACTAGAATGATATAAGGGTTGGAACACTTTCCCTATGAAGAAAGGTTAAAGCACTTGGGGCTCTTTAGTTTGGAGAAACAATGGCTGAGGGGTGACATGATCAAGGTTTAAAAGATTATGCATAGGATAGAGCAGGTTGAGAAAGAAGTCCTTTTCTCCCTTTCTCACAATACAAGAACTCATGGGCACTCTATAAAATTGCTGAGCAGTTGGGTTAGAACAGATAAAAGGAAGTACTTCTTCACCCAAAGAGTGATTAACACATGGAATTCACTGCCACAGGAGGTGGTGGCGGCTACAAGCATGAATGGCTTCAAGAGGGAATTGGATAAACATATGGAGCAGAGGTCCATCAGTGGCTATTAGCCACAAGCTATGGATAGGAAGTCTCAGGCCGGGGCAAGTGATGCACTGTATTCTTGGTGCTGGGGGGGGGCAACAGTGGGAGGGCTTCTAGTGTCCTGGCCCCACTGGTGGACCTCCTGATGGCACCTGGTATTTTTGGCCACTGTGTGACAGAGTGTTGAACTGGATGGGCTATTGGTCTGATCCAACATTGGCTTCTCTTATGTTCTTAAACTGGGCGAGCTAGTGCCTGTGATCAAGTTCCAAGTAGGAAACTTGCAATGCCTTTTTGATCATGTTGACCCGCGGAGGACTCAAGCAAAATGTAACAGCCCTGAGTGGCTAAATGAAAGTGTTCTGTGTCAGAATGAAGATGCCAGTTGCCTCAGCTGAAATTCAGACACCAGGAGGGAAGAGAACTGCCTCAGTGAAATCTACCAGAACTACAGCTCTTTAAAACATTTCACTATTTATTTAAAATATATATAGTTTCAGAATATCTCATAATCAGGATCAACTGTTACAAGGAGACAAGATGATCAACATCCCACCCAATACTGAAGTTGGTAACTTACACTTTTAACAGCTTCATGTATTCTTCGTCCAGACATTGTCCTTAGGGTCATGAAAATAGTCATGTCAGTTTCCATAACCTTCCATTACTGTACCATTGCACTGTGAGGCAGGTACTATCAAGGTTTCAAAGTCATTAATTTAGGAGATGATCAAGAGATGATCAGGTGACATCTCTGACACCATGCAAATGGGTAGAAAATTAATTATATTTTGGCCCCAATCCAGTTACATCCCACTGAAACCAATTAATGTAAGTCCTACTGCTTTCAATGGAGTTTAGTCGCAACTAACTTCTGCCAGATTGGGGCCATTGTTGTGTACTAACTGTACGGAAGAGGCAAGCAGAGAGGGAAAGACTTGGAGGAACATCTGGGGAAGCTGTAACATGTTGCTGAACATTTGCTTTTCCATTCCAATTGTAGGTATAATGCTTGGGCACAGCCAAAGGTGCAAGCTTCGTGACCCTCAGCTTGTGCCTTGGTATGAGCCAGTCACTGAATCCAGGACCAACCCAAGACATAGTTTGCTGTTTTGTTTGTTTGTTTTGGTTGGTTCATTTATACTGTATTCTTTACTGTTGTAAGTAGCTTTGGGTTCCTTTGTGGAGAAAAGTGGAGTATAAGCACTCAGATAAATAAATTCTGTGCCCCTTTATTATTACAATTGACCTGTGTGTGTGTTAAGTGCTTTCTTATGGCGACCCTGTATAGAAATATTAATTCCTATAGACCCTGCCTTCCCCCTGGAATGTACCCTGCTGTTCTGATTTCCTATGCAAGCCAGATGGCTGACCATTTGGTCAGAAGAGGCTCAATAGCCTGCCATAAACCATACATTCTTCACACCTCTAGCAGACCTGATGGCGCCTATGGTAAGCATAGAGGAGTGGTTAGAGTTTGGGGTTACATGCCTGCAGGTGTGGCCTTCAAGACTACTGACCATTCAGAACAATTGGACACTCCCAAGTCTACTTCAATTGGCTCCTGGCCAGAGCTAATTTGAAGACTGAATTGCAGTATAATTGGTTAAACCCAATGAGAGAAGCTCTCTCTTGCTCTTCTGTTCCTGTTATCTGCTGTTCTGTGGACTTATCCCTGAAATGCTTTGTCTCTGTCATGTGCTCTTCGGGAGAGACAAAGAGTTGCTTTGGAGCTGAGCATATGGCTGCATGCTTGCAAAGATGAAACTCTTGTTTCTCAAGATACCTGGACTATCCCAATGGACAATACTGACTCTTGGACCCTACCTGATGTTGGTAAATATGCTTCTGATTGTGTAGTTAGGCAAAACATTGCTTAGGATGTTCTTTTAAAGTCTTTCTAGTCTGATTGCAAGCCTGTGCTGAATAAACTTTATTCTTGTTCATAAATAGTGTCTGCTTGATGTGTAACTGTACTCCAAAACTAGATCCGGTTGCCTGAACTGCTGGCCTAATTATGCTACCTTGCTAAGAGTAACTGCACAACTCTAGGTTGAGCAATTCTTGTATAAGTCCCAGAGGCCAGTTAAGAGTCTGAACCTTGCTCTTGGACTGGAAGGGGACTATAGTTGAAAAGGTTCTGGTGGCTATTCTATTGAGATCCAGAGAGCCTATCTCTCCTGGGTTCTTGTGTAATGTATGTTTCCAGTGTAGACTTCTTTCCCCCTCATTCTTGTGTGGTTTGGGGAGGAGAGAATCTATACAGACCCTATGACTTAATGACCTCCAAAACATCTTATTGCTAACAGCCTTGCATGGTTCTTGCAAACAGAGGGTTGTGGCTTCCTTGATTGAATTAATCCATCCCACGATGGGCCTTCCTTTTTTCCTGCTGCCTTCAACTTTCTCTAGCATTATTGACTTTTCCAGTGATTCTTGTCTTCTCATAATGTGAGTAAACTACAGTACCTCAGTTGGGTCATTTTAATTTCTAGGGAGACTTCAGGCTTGGTAACAATTGACATATTCCACTTATTATCTTTTGGTGGTAGAATATGCCAACTTATGGTGACCCCATCGGGTTTTCAAGGCAAGAGATGAACAGAGGTGCTTTGCCATTACTTACTTCAGAGTAGCAACCCTGGACTTCCTGGGTGGTCTTCCATCCAAGTACTAACCAAGGCTGACCTTGCTTAGCTTCCAAGGTCTGATGAGAGGAGGCTAACCTGGGCCATCCCATATTAACTGTTATCCTTTCTAAATTTCAAGTTGGTTTGTCCTTGCATTTCAAAACCAACAGTTACAGATCTTTCTTCTAGAACAAGCCCTTCTTCATAATAAATTCATGTTCTGTATTCTATTGCTGAATGTACTATGAAATCCCACAAATGCATGCTATTAAACATTTCCTTAACAGTAAGCACAGATGCAGATACATACGTAAACTCCCCTGGAAGTGCCAGTATCACCACAGATCCAATGCGAACAATCTGAATATCAATAATTTTTGGATGCCATGGGTAAGGTTTCGACAGCTTGAGAAATTTAGGAAGAAAGGTAATTTTGCATTAGTCTTTATTGCAGAAGATGTCATTAAAAGCATAAGCAAATGCTTGGCATTGCTCCAAATGTACAGGATATAGAGCCAGCAACTGTGGCTGTAGGGGTAAAATTCAGGAAATATTCGGGAAACCAATTTTTTTCCAGCTCCATTATATAGGGTATGATGGATAATCAACCAAGGGGTATTTGGGGCTCTGGGAGAATAGCCCAAAGTTGCAGCATAGCCCAAGTTTTAATTGGTGCCCCCATCCTCCATTGCTTTCAATGAATGGGGGGGGGGAAGGCATTTAAAGGGACCATGGCCTCTTTAAATGCCTTCTGAGCTCACTTGCTGAGTCACGCCATGGCAATGGTGGCAGCAGTATGGCTTGGAAAAGGCATTTAAAGAGACCCTCTTTAAATGCCTTTTCCAAGCTGCACCACTGCGGCAGTGCAACCCTGCAAGTGAACTCAGAAGGCATTTAAAGAGGCTGCAGTCTTTTAAAATGCCTGTATAGAAATATTGATTTCTAAAAGTCCTGCCTTTTCCTGTTCTGTTTTCTGATATCATGCGGTTGTGCCTTAGTTCCTGTTACAAGCCAAATGGTGGGCCCCATGGCCTCAATTGCCATACCATAAACCCACATTCTTCACACTTCCATGCTGGGAGAGACTAGATGGCATCTGCCAAACATGTCAGAAGGCATGTAGCCCATGGACTAGCTGGAGTTGGGGGCCATGTGACTGCAGGCGTGGTTTCTCAAACTCCTAGCCTATCCCCACTTGCACGCATGACAACTAACAAATTGTCTAACACCTATGTCTACTCGCAATTGGTTCCTGGCCAGGGCTAATTTGTGACTAGATTGGGGTTTAATTGTCTGGTCCCTTGGAAGAGAGTTCGCTGTTCCTGCTCTCTCTCTACTTGTTTGAATTGCATCTGGAAATGCTGTCTCTGGGAGAGACAAAGACCTCCTTTGTGAGCTGAGCACATGGCTGGTGCACAAGGAGAGTTTCTCCTCAAAATCCCTTGGTGCTACCTGGATTATTACAATGGACAATCTTGAACTCTTGGATGTTATCCTGACTTGGTAAATATGAATTACTGTTTAGTTAAGGCAAACTGCCCTAGCCTTTCTTTTTTTGAAATCCTTATGGTCTAATTGCAATACTCTGTGCTGAATAAAATATTATTATTGTTTCTAACTTGTCTTTGTTGTGTAGCTGAATTCCAAGGCTAAATCTTGCAGCCTAATCCGCTGACCACATATGCTACTATTGGAGGTTAAATCTTGTTGCTAATGTGTTAAGTTCCATATGCCAGCTAAGAGTCTGAACCTTGCTCTTGGGCTGGAAAGGGGACCTTAGTTAAAAAGAGGTTCTAGTGGCGTATTGTTCTGAATCCAGAGAGGGTAGCATACCTCTCTGGGTTGTTGTTTAATGTATTGAAAAGTGTAGGCTTCCCCCCTCGTTCCTGGACAGGCTGGACGGGCAGAAACCTATACAATGCCTTCTCCAAACTGTCCCTGAATAAAAGCTTCATTTTCCGGTTTTCAAGTAATATCCCCAATCCCGTAGTGCAAGTCATTTTTGGAAAAGGTGATATTCAAAACCAGCCTGAAATATAACTCAACGAAGGGTCTACTTTTCAGAAAAACAACCTAATGTTCCTTCATGGTGATCGTAATGGGTTGGAACCAAATGAAATTGGCAATCTCCCTCAATTACCGATTCCCACTGCCTGCCCCACTCATGTCATTCCATGGGGGTCCTCTGCCAACCCAAGAGCAGCGTTTCTTGGAGATCAGAGGGCTGCCGTGGGAGAAGAAAGGCAGGAAAGTTCCTCTCTGCCACTGGAAAATTAAATTGGGATCCAGCCCAATCACGACTTTATTTAAGTCTCAGGTGAAGTCAGTTTCCTCCTGGCAATGTGCAGTAATGTTTCTTACCTCTCCTGTAGGAAGAAGAATAGGCTTGGGTTTCTGACATTCTACTGTTTCACTGGATGGTTCAACAAGCAATCCATCACGGACTGCGTCCCAGAATGGATCACCATTTATTGCCCCTGCCAACAGAAATGTGTTCGCAGAATTATAACACAGACTTGTAGGTTAATTTTAACCAATCAGTTAATAAACTTGTCAATAAATGTTTGTATTTAGCAAATTTCAAATTAGTTGCCTTTGTGAAGTTATTGTCAAGCAAGTGTGAGATAAATTGCAGTTTAATCAGTGAGAGTTTAAACCCATTGCTAGAATGAAAGGCAGCTTTCTATATCTTCTTTATTAATGGCTGCTGTCCTTCTGTTAATCCTATCCAGTTACTCCAGTCTAAATCCACTGGAATAATCGAATAATCCAGAGTAACTGCATAGGACTGCACTGTTAATTCACCATTCTATGTTGAACGGTATTCATTTTTCACTAAGAAGAAGAGAAGAGATTGGATTTATACCCCACCCTTCACTCGGAGTCTCAGAGAAGCTTACAAATTCCTTTCCCTTCCCCTCCCCACAACAAACAACCTGTGAGGTAGGTGGGGCTGAGAGAGCTCTTTCAAGAATTGCTCTTTCAAGAACAGCTATGACAGAACTGTGGCTTGCCCAAAGTCATCCAGCAGTTGCAAGTGGAGGAGTGGGGAATCAAACCCGGTTCTCCCAAATTTGAGTCCTGGCACTTAACCGCTACACCCAACTGGCTCTTTCAAATGTACTTCTCACCTTTGAGGATTCGCCAGATTGCCAATGTTGTATGGCGGGCATTTTTCCAACAGTGCCAAGTTAGGCAGCTGGCCCCCTACCTGTCTCGCCCCAACCTTGCCACAGTAATCCATGCAATGGTCACCTCCAGGCTGGATTATTGTAACTCACTTTATGTAGGGCTACCCTTGAGACTGACCCGGAAGCTCCAACTGGTATAAAATGCAGCTGCGCGGGTCCTTACAGGGACTCCATGGAGGGCACATATCCATCCAGTGCTGCGCGAGCTGCACTGGTTTCCAGTGGAGCACCGGATCAGATTCAAGGTTTTGGTGCTTAGCTTTAAAGCCCTTAACAGTCAGGCACCTATGTACCTTTGGGACTGCCTCTCCCGATATGTTCCCTGAAGGGCATTGAAATCAGCAGATAAGAATCTCCTGGTGATTCCCGGCCCCAAAGATATCCAGCTGGCCTCGACCAGGGCCAGGGTTTTTTCAGCCTTGGCTCCAGCCTGGTGGAACTCTCTGCCGGATGACATCCGTGCCCTGTCTGATCTATCAAAGTTCCACAGGGCATGCAAGGCAGAGATGTTCCGCCAGGCCTTCAGCTGAGGCCATTGGCGGTATTCTTACATCTATCTTTTAGACTTTACTCAATTCTATGGGATTCATAGCTCACACAGCATCTGTGTATAGGTGATCGGATTTAGTACTGACTTAGTTTGTTATGACTGTTGATGTATGTAAAAAATTTGTAATGGTGACTAACTGGTTGGTTTGTAATTTTGGATTCTCAGGACATTTGTATACTGTTTTGCAGTTATTATATGTCTTGATATGTTATACTTCCTCTTAATAAACATTTTAAAAATGAAAAAAAAAATCTTACATCTACCCGGCAACTTCCCCTCCTCTCCCCTCCCCCCTATAAAAATCTGGATGCTGGATATGCCATCTTGTTTTTAAAGTGTTTAAATATTTATGCTGAATGTTTTAATATTGAATTTTTGTAGTTTTGATAGGTTTTAAAATTGTACTGAATTTATGTTGTTGTAAACCGCCTTGTGGTTAAGACACTGAACTGCAGGCTGTGGAAGGTCAGTAGTTCAGCAGTTCGAGACCCGGGTGCCGCATGATGGAGTGAGCTCCCGTCTCTAGTTCCAGCTCCTGCCAACCTAGCAGTTCGAAAGCAAGAAATTGCAAGTAGATAAATAGGTACCACTTTGGTGGGAAGGTAACAGCATTCCGTGCACCTTGGTGTTTAGTCATGCCGGCCACATGGCCACGGAAAATGTCTTCGGACAGCGCTGGCTCTTCGGCTTGGAAACTGAGATGAGCACCGCAACCCTAGAGTCGGATTCGACTGGATTTCGAGCAAGGGAGACCTTGACCTTGAAACTGACTTGAGCCCCACATAAGCAAGGAAGGACGGTTAAGAAATCAAATGAAATAAATAAAATAAATATTTCCCCCCCACTCTGCATCATTCCATTTCTCCTGGAACATACAGTGTCATAGGTTCATGTGACTTAGTGTAATGAACTGCCCCAAAATGGCAATTCTTGCACTGCTAGAGATAACACTGGAAAGATGGCAATCGCATGGCTTGCTGCCTGATCCTACATGCTGATTTTTCGGGTCATGGGCAGGAGCAAGCTTCTACTAGACATGCGATACATCCAGGGAGAATTCTGACAACCTCTGTTGTTGTTCACTTGGCAGGATGTAAGGAAGGATATTAAAGCTTTACAGCTGTCCACAAACTGAAATTGTTTAGTTGGTGAACCATCCAACTGAAATCCTATTTAGGCCAAGGGAATTAAAGGCTTGGGCACATTTCTTGGCTCAGTTAAAAGAGGAATCTCTATAGTTAGAGATCAGGGATTTGGGCCCTACAATATGCTCACTGTATGAAATTAAACAGAGAAATGTTACTTTAGTTATCAAAATATTGGTCCAGATCAGTTTTGAATGCTAAATAATAATAATTGCAAATAGAGCAAAAGCAAACTTGGCCTGTAAATATTTCTCATCACTTGCCTTGTGTGAAATTAAACATTCCTGGTCCATCCATAGTGCCGGCAGCAAAGCTGTACCCCAAGGCTGGTTTACATGTTTTAGCCTTTTGGAAAAAGATCATGAAGTTAGGCCGTGAAAATGGTATCCCACTAGACTGTTATTTCCTGACTGCAAGACGGTATTAACAGTACTTTACCGAATGAGTAGCATTGAGCCATACGGTAACGTTTGACATGTCCACCCACTGGTGAACGGAACTGAGGGGACCATTTATCTCCTCATAGGCTGCTGCCGACAGCTCCTGGAACACAGATTACAGTCACCTATTAGCGGGTATGACTCCGAGTGGAAGAACACACAACGAAAACGCACCTAAACTGGCCTGCAATTGAAAGGCAATTCAGCTTCTCTCAGAGCAGGTTCACATATTCATGGGACGTTTTTTGTCACTGAAGTACACAACACTTGATTGTTATTTGTTATCTATATTGCACCATTGTTGTACTTTACAAAGTACACTTTACAAAGTTCCATAAAAAATGGGGTAGGTCCCTGACCTGATCTTAGTGGGGAGTGGGGAGGGATTGGGGGGGGGAGAGGGGGGGGAGGAGAGAGAGACTTGTTCACTTGATGTATGGTGGCCAACCTCAGTGCATGTAGAAGGGGACTGGAAATATCAGCATTGCCTACGTCCAAAGTACAGGGATTGTCTTCCTATCTTCCTTGATGGTTCAGCATTCTCAGTCACAGGGATAAAACCTATGCATATGCACATGTTGGCGCTGTGGTGATCAGTGGCAGGCGACTGTTAAAACCAGCATGCTCATTCCTAATCTACCCCCTTCTCTATTTTAAAATTTTTACAACATTCTTCATTATAGGTTAACAACTTATAATTGCACCATCTTGTTCACAATACAGGACATTACATGACATTAAGAATTTCAGCAGGTCAGTACAATGTAAAAAGAACAGGCTAGCATACAATGTTATTTATTTCAAGAGCTACAATACTTTGCTGGTGGAAAGTCACGGCTGACTTTATGGCCACTTCTTGGGGTTTTCAAGGCAAGGGATGTTCAGAGGTGGTTTGCTATTGACTGCCTCCATGTCACACACCCCTATTATTTCTTTGAGGTCTCTCATCCAAATACTAGCCAGAGTCAATCCCACTTAGCTTCTGAAATTTGATGAGATCAGACTAGCCTGGGCTATCCAGGTCAGGAATACAGTACAATACTTTGTATTTGCAGCAACGCTGAAAGCAAAGTGGAGAATCCTCGCTGTGTGGAACAGCCCTAGCCTACATGGTGAAACTCCCTGTAGTAGGTGTGTCATTGGCCAAGGTCCTGGGCTAGTTCTACACCCTCATCTTAACCTACAAGACAAAATAAACTTCAATCCTTGAAGGCGGGGATAAGTTCAAACTCACACTTTTGTTTCCATCTAGAAAAATTGTGCAAGATATTTTAGATGAAAATCTGGATTTCAGATTTTAAAAGAAAGCACATGCTAGAATGTGAATCCATTCATTTTGGGCACAGTTACCTGGCCATATGTCCGCCTGTATACAGGGGGGGCTTACTTCTGAGTACACCTGCATAGGATTGTGCTGCATAGCATGTCACGTACCTTTGCTTTCAGGTAGATGTTTCTTCCAATTAATTTTGTGCTCTCAAGCATGTCACGACCAGGACCTGAAGCTATGCACATCTTGGCCTAAAGCAGATGGAAGAAAAACAAGTAAAAAGATGAAACTCACAAGCAAGCAGTACAAAATTTGATAGTGTAGAACAGAGAACCAAAAGCCATTGCACTACGTTAGGGATCCCCAGTCTATCTGAGCCACCAGGCAGCTTCAGAATTTTGAGAGAGGGTAGAATGTGCTGCCCCCCAAGATGGCTGCCACAGGGAGCACAGCCAAATGCAATACCTTCTCCTTGCTTTGTGTTAGATTGTATATTCTTATAATTTCTTAAAGTAATTCAGCAGAGTACTAAATCAGCAGAGTCAGCAGAGTATTAAAGAGTCAGAGTCCATGGTGTGTTTAAATATAAAAGTTTACTACAACCTAGCATGGGGAAAAGGTACACGGGAAGTAAAATAACAAAGAGCTAAATTCCTACATCCTTACAGCTAGACAGAACATGGCAGAAGAGAGAGAAGACAAGCTGCTTCTTGCTCTGGACAAAGAGCCATAAAATGCTAATACCTGGCACCTTGGTCTCCAATCAGAACAACAAACTAGATCTGAAGTTACGGGCTTTCTAGCTCTCTAAACCTATTGGTTACAAACAAACAGTATTAACCCAGTAAATACTGAAATAGAAGTGTTTTAACTTGTAACATCCAACACTTTGCAAAAGAATTGCATAAGGGGAATAAAAAGAAATGAAGGAAAGCCCAAAAGAGGAGGGAGAAAGGGACAATAACAGGAAACGAAGGAAAGCCTTGCAGGGAGGAAGGGACAAAGAGAAGGGGGGGATTTAAAAAGAAAGCAAGCATGAAGGGGGAATGGAACCACACACTGACTAGGAAAGCCTGGGCGCTCACCCAAATCCTCCTGATTCACCAGTGGCTGCAGCTGCTATTGGAGCCATGCAAAACCCTTTCATTTGAATGAGGAGAGCCAATAAAAAGTTCCACCTACTTTTTGAAAAGGTCAGCATGTGCTGGAGGAAGTACTGGCGGGTGTCAATCACATCCATGGGCACTATGTTGGAGAACCCTGCGCTAGATTGATCAGAGAACACAGCCCATGTGTCTGCCTTCCCACAAGGCTTCCTTATGTTACCAATAGTTCTACCCTCACCGAGTTACACCTTTTTAAATGTTGGTGGTGAAGGGCAGCGCCACATCTCTTTGCAGGACAATAAATCTCCTCTCTTATATATGTATGGACATGCTATCTCTTGCCTTCTCACAAAGCATGGACAATAAATCTCTTCTCTTATATATGTGTGGACATGCTATCTCTTGCTGCCTCCCAGACCTTGGGCCTGATCACCCCAGGTTTTGGAATGGAGCAGGCTGACCTGTAGAGATGGCAACTCTGGGTTAGGAAATTCCTGGAGATTTGGTGGTGGAGTCTGGAGAGGGACCTCAACAGGGTATAATGCCCATAGAATCCACTCTCCAAAGCAGCCATTTTCTCTAGGGAAACTGATCACTGTAGTCTGGAGTTCAGCCGTAATTCCAGGAGGTATCCAGGCCCCACCTGGAGGTTGGCAACCCAACATCCCTGGATTAGTCAGGCCCAGAGACCCCACCCCCTTTTAGACCAAACAATAGATAAAGGAGACACGGACTTTTCATCCTGTAGGTTGCCTGCCAAGAAAACCCAATCACTTCTCGGAATCAAAAGCAAGTAATTTGGTGTAGAAGAGAAGGAAAGAAAGGAATCCTGGGGGAGGTAGGTTACCAACCTCCAGGTGGGGCCTGGATGTCTCTTGGAAATGAAATTGATTTCCAGACTACTCCCCTGGAGGAAATGGCAGTTTTGGAGGGTGGGCTGTATGGAATTAAGTTCTTGCTGAGCCCACTCCTCTCCCCAAACGCCCCCCTCCCCAGCCACTGGCCCCAAATCTGCAAGAATTTCCCAAGGAGGAGGCGGTGAACCTATGGACAAGGGAACCCCTAGAGAACACTATGGCACTCCCGATGTTGCACATCATGGTGCTGTGAGCCCTTGTAATTAGGCATTTGATGTAGGATCTTTTTGCATCATCAGAACAGAGCTATCATCACCACTACTAACTGTTCTGCAATGTGCAGCGGCAGAGTGCTACAGTCTGATTTTTTAGGGCACGCTCTTAGTATAATTATACGTGGAAGGAGTGGCTCTGAATAGGAATGGGAAGGCAGAACTTGCACCTACACAAACCATATGAATTAAAGCAGTGATCTAGATCCATACACACCATTTAAATTGAACTGCAATAGTTTCAGCTGCAGGAATCGAAGTGGTTCATTGTGGTTTCCCATCCCGAGTTCGGAGCAGATGTGCCCACTCAAGCCTCCGCCACCCCCCACGGATCCCTCACTTACCCCTAAAGGTGGCGGGGGGGCTCTCCTGACCTCCTCTGGGCCACAGTGCTCCAGCGCTGGCCCAGGGAGGCGGCAGGGGGCTCTCCTTGCCTCCTCTGGGCCGCAGAGCTCCGGCGCTGGCCCAGGGAGGCGGCGGGGGGCCTCTCCTTGCCTTCTCTGGGCCGCAGAGCTCCGGCGCTGACCCAGGGAGGCGGTGGGGGGCTCTCCTTGCCTCCTCTGGGCTGCCGCACTCTGGCGCTTGCCCAGGGAGGCAGTGGGGGGGCTCTCCTTGCCACCTCTGGGCTGCAGCGCTCCAGTGTGGACCCTGAGGAGGTGGCGATGGGCATCCCCAGGGCCGCAGTGCTTCAGCACGGGCCCTGAGAGGCCGGCAACAGGCCGTAGCGGGGGAGGAGCTGGGGGCGGGGCTTGCTGCCACTGCCATTTTGCCAGTGCCTGGGCTCCCGGAGCGGCGCTCCAGCCACTCCGGCCCCAAAAGACCCCTGGAAATCATCATACTGAGAAGGATGGTCAGGATTAGCAGACATCTCACAGGGTTGGCAAACATCTAACAGTGCAATCCTGAGAGCAGTTTCCTGGCAGTAAGCCCCACTGAATAGACCTGAGTAGGCTTCTGGATGTGTGTGTTTGTGAAGTGCTGTCAAGTCACAGCTGACGTATGCCCCCCCATAGGATTTTCAAGGCAAGAGAATGACAGAGGTGGTTTGCCATTGCCTTCCTCTGCATAGCAACCCTGGACGTCCTTCCAAAACTAACCAGAGCAAACCCAGCTTAGCTTCCAGGATCTGACAAGGTCGGACTAGCCTGGGCCCTCCAGGTCAGGGTAGGATTCTGAGTAGACAGATACTTAACACCTTTCTGAAATTATACCTATCCCATCAGAGGGCAATCAAGCTGCTTTCTTGAGATAACCACAGAGATATATCCAGCTCTTGTGCAAACCAAGACTGACTTCCAGAACATTTTCTGGTCAAAGCCCACCTTCATCACCATGAAGATAACATCTACTCTTCAGGAGAGGCAACTATGACTAACTTCCTAGCTCCTTCCACCATGGCTATTGCCACCCACCCTTCTTCTACTTAAATCGTTAGATTCAGAGAGCAATTCTAGGCAAGTCTACTCAAAATAAAGTCCTGTTTTAGTCAATAGGGCTTATTCACAAGAAAGTGTTGTTAGGATTGTAACCACTATTTGCACTAGTTTTCTAATTTGATAATGCCAAAGTGAATTGGATAAAGTATTTCATTTGCATCTGCCAGGGTTGTCAGCTCTGGGCTGGGAAGTTCTTGGAGATTGGGGGGGAGCAGAGCCTGGGGTAGGCAGAGTTTGGGGAAGGGGAGGAGCTCAACATTGAAGTGATGCCACAAAGTCTATTTTCTAAAGGAGCCATTTTCTCCAAAGGAACCGACCTATTTAGTCAGGAAAGGTCCTGAAAACCTGGATCTGGGACCAGCAAGCGGGAGAGGCACTTAACACTCCTTCTCTGGTGCCTTGGTCCCAATCCAAAAATGGCCCTGATGCACCTGCTTTGAACAAAAACAAAACCCCAACTCCTGGGTGCTTAATGTACGGACCTCTCAGTGTCTCATCTGCTCTGGCCTAGAAATGGTATCAGTTCAACCGTAAGACATAACAACAGCTCCGGTAGTGAATTAAGGTGCAGCCAAAAGTTGCTTATTCTTGGTACTGGTGTATTACATATTCTTACTTAAATTTATAATAGGTATCCTAAATGCCTGGATCACATGGGAGTAGACATATTAGACAGATTACTTTGAAACAGGAAGAACAGAGCATATTATATAAGAGACAGATAGGCTGGTATGTTACGATTAAAATCAATGTTTTGTTCTCCCTGCTTGTTGATGGTGTTCTTCTTGGGGTGAGTATGTATGTTCTGTGGGGGTGGATATGTAAGTCTTGTGGTTGTAGGTACAAAACCTTGATCTACATTTACTACCTACCCCGCCTATTGGGCAATAGTTATGAAGGTTTTCACATGACTGCCCGGTGTTTATGCAGTGTGGTCCCTTTGTATTTGGAGACACATCGCCCAGGTTAGCTGATCCCAAAGCAGCTACATATGGACCCTGAAAAAGAAAGACACAATTACATCACTTACCTCTTCAAAACAACTGTTACCACCATTTCTATAGCATGTCCATGCTTATAACTCATGGGAAATCCTTGTAGTATACAAATATGACATAAATGTTTTATTTATCCATCGAACACATTTTTCAGCTGCTTTTGCAATAGGCATAAAACAGCTTACATAACAGCTCCCCCTTTAAAACCAAATAATGTCACAAAATATCACAAATAGAATAACAGCATTAGGTAGGTACCAAGGAAGTCAAATTCTGATGTGAGTTTTTTTTGGAGGTGGACCTTGTTTTAACAATTTGAGATGGGCTATTAAGTATAGGAGTTAATACTCATCATATTAGCCTTTTCTACTGCTTCAATGGGAAGTGCATTTCTTGGTGAAACCCCTTGTCTACAATGGGATCAAATTCTCAAGGGGTATACTCCTCTCCTATGGGATACTCCCTGCCAGACTGCAGACAGAAAGATAACACTCTTATACCCAAATGATGTTTGGTTGAAATCTTACCTCACCCATTAACTCACTACATGGCTTTAGACAACTATCCAACTTTCATCTCCTATCTGCAATATGGGGACAGTAATACATTCTGTTTTACAGGGCTGTTTGTAGTAACTACTGTACAACATGGGGATTATGTAGAACGTGGGGATGCTGCTGAAAATGGCACTTCCTCTTATTCCAGACTGTTTATTAAATTTCCTCTGTGTTTTGACAGGAAATTATTATGCATTTTTCCTGCCCCTACCTGTAGCAGCCAATGATGTCAAATGTCATCAGGAGCCACAAAACGTAAGCTATCATAACAGAGGATAAATGTTTCCATGTACATTACAGAGAGAAGGAGAACTTAACACACTAATGCTATTTCCTGCAGTACCCTGTGTCATAGTTCTGCCCTTATATTCTGCATATGAAGTTTAGAACATTTTCAATGTACTAAAAATGTCTGTTATTAATATTATAGTGTTGAAGCACATTTCTCATTTAATTTAGCTGTAGAAATATGCATGCATAACATCGGTCACATTCAGACAGGTCTTTAGATCCGACCCAGGCATGAATGCCTGGCGGATTTAAAGAGAACGATCAGACAGTGACATCTGGGAAAGGTGATCAGCTCGTTTAGCCCCACCAGGGAGCCAGACTTTAAAGATACTGGTGAAAGTCTGGTGCTGGTGCTTGCCGGTGGGCCGACCGACTCTCCCCATCTGATCCTTCCAGTGCACAACCATCCCAAACAACCACCATTTTTAAAAATTCTCTTAGCGATATGCGCATAAATGCATAAACATGCGACAGCTGCAGAGATCCTCTCAAGCATTCCGGACAATTTCATGTTTATGAATGGCCCGTGAAATTAATGAACTTCGTTAACTGAAATGGTACCTAGAGGGAGGATAAGGTAGGTCTTTCCCCACACCAAGTAGTCCCTCCACTGAGCTAGATCTCAGTGGCAAGGGGGATGGCCGGGACTAATTTATCCAGCCCTGGCCAGGTCTGCATCAGAACAGAAACTGAAAGAAGAAGTTGGGTGTGCTGGGACTGTCCTGTATTTGGCCACTCCATGGGGAGAGATAGGGAGGCGTACCCCACGCCTCCCCCCAAAAAAACCTGCTGCTGTTCTCTGACATCATAGAACTGGGTGTAGGGTTTTCAGCTCCATGTAACACTGGCAGTGCTTTAACCATTCAATTCCACGTATGCGTGAAAAAACAAGTACATGGTGAAGCATATATGTTCATGCTCAAACAGCATTTAAAAGAAACCCTGACCGTGCAGATCCTTCAGGTGGACGCCTTCTAGACAATCCACAGTGGAGTCCGTGCACGGTAAGGCAATTCATGGGGGAGCTGTCTGGTCATGCAAAACTGGATAAAAAAGATCAGAATCAAATTAGAGCCGGGCCAATGGCAGGATTAGCTGCCCATCTGAACGGAATCATCAGATATAAAATACCATGGGGTCAGAAATTATTAAAAGGCATTGCAAGCTGTTAATATTGTAAAAAGGAGAACTTAACACATCTCTGGTATGTTCCCCGAAGAGCGTTATGCTCTGCTGAGAACAATCTACCAGTGATCCCTGAGAGCAATCTACCTGGAAAATCTACAGCAACTAATCTACCAGTGATCCCTGGCCCTAAAGATATCCAGCTGTCCTCAACCAGGGCCCTCTCAGCCAAGCTCCGACCTGGTGGAACTTTCTGACAAATGATGTCAGGTCCCTGCAGGACTTAATGCAATTCCACAGGGCCTGCAAGGCAGCGATGTTCTCCCAGGCTTTTGGTTGAGGGCAATGACAGGCAATAACATGGCTGGAACCCTCCTCTTCCCCCCTTCTTATCCTGCTTGTGAGGCAGCAACATGGTCCAGAACTGGTTAAAGGTTAAATATCTGGGCATTAATTTTAAGTCTGTAATGTTTATTTATTGTATTTTAACTCGTCATTATGATGTATTTATGTATTCTTTTATTTTATTTTATTTTTAAACCCCCGAAGGGATATTTTTTATTTTGCAATGGACTACAGAACTACAAAGAAAATATTAGGAAGGGAACTACAACTAGGGATAAAGGAAAGATAACCACACTATGCTAAAACCCCAAGAGGAGGAGATCTTATCCCTGTTAATATGAGTGTTAGTACTATAAGAACTTCTGGAGTTCTTGTTTATCTCAGCTTCAATATTTATGTGTTAATATGTTAGTTGTTATGAGAGAACTTTCTGATCATCTTCTTGTTCTTCGCTTCAAAAGGCCATTTTCCGAGTCTCCCTGCCTTTACTTCGGCTTTCTGTCTCTAAAATCGTATACAACTCTGGCACCCGTTTCTGCAGCAGAGCCCTCTTCCATTCCAGGGGTGGCAGAGTCACTAAATTTCATTTCTTCCTCTTTAGACTCTTCCTCTGTTCCCAGCTGACGCCGCAAAAACTCTTTGGCTTTAAAAGTGGAGTCTATCTTCTCTCTTTTATCTTAAAGATAACACCCTCCGGGACCACCCATCTGTACGATATTCCATTGGTTTAAAGGAAAGAAATTAAATCCTTATAATTTTCCCTCTTTTGTCGAATTTCAAATGGCATGTCTTTTAAGGTTTTGATGATTAGATTTCCCATTTTCAGTGGAGTTGCTGATGTCGCTTTTAAGATGGCATCTCTGGTCTGTCTTCTTGAGAATCTGACCACAATTTCTCCAGGCAGGCTATTTTTTAAAATATAGTTGGAGTATGCCCTGTAGGCTAGCTCCATTTCTTTTACAAGCTCATCCGCTGTTAAGCCTATTACTGGAGTGATGATCTCGCTAAGCACCTTCCTCAGGTCCTCCCGCTCTGCTTCAGGAACTCCCTGGAACCTGAGAATCATTTTAGCTTTTTCCATTTGTAACTGCAGCAAATGATTTTCTTGGAAGTTCTGCTTCATTTCCACTTCTCCCATTCTTTTCTTCAATTTTTTGCTTGTGGTGTCCATCTCTTTAATTTTCTCATTTGCCTGCTCCTTTTTTCTCCGTTTTGTTGAGCTGGAGCAGCTGAGATGCAAAGTTCTTGTTCATCACGGTCAATTGCTGGTTAATACCATTGAGTTGCTCCATCACTGGCTTGAGCATATCCACTAACAGTTTAATGACATCTGCTCCCTCCTCTGGTTTTGGGCTCTGACTGCCTGGTGGTTTCATTTTCAGCTTTCTCTGCTGGGCCACCATTTACAATTTCTACCGCTTCTTCCTGGCTTGAAAAACTCACCCCACAATGACAAAAATCAAGTAAGTCTCTCAAAACACACTCGTTGTGTTTCCTCCCCTCTCCCCCTTCGTATCGCTTATCAGTTCATTCGCATAAGAGGTGTCCCTCTTTGCGACCTCTTTTATCAGCGGGGGGTGGGTGGAAATTCACTTTTAAAGTAATCCGGTTTATTCAGAACTCATGTTCATTGTCAGTCAGTTTCTCTGACCTCGCTCAATTTAAACGTTATTCTGCTCGATCTCCAGCGCTTGTCCCGGTCAAACCAGCTAGTGCCCGAAGGCCACACAGCGACTGGACCATCAGGGTGGAGGGGAACCTCGATTCTCCAGCATTACGCCATCGAAGAGGCTACCCCTCAAAAGCCCTCTGGCCTGGAGCCTATCGCAAAGGCTCCATGGGGGTGTCTCTTGAGGTGGCACCCCTCCAGGCCACTGGTGTGCGATTCGCTCTCCTGCAGTCCAGGGAGAGCATCCGCCATCGCTGCTTCATAAACTGGAAATCTTATATATTCTTTTATTGAAGTAAATAACCAGAACCCTTTGTATTCAGGGACTGGACGATTCATAAATCCAAGTATGTATGTATGTATGTATGTATGTATGTATGTATGTATGTATAGCATAAGTAAGTGCCATTAAATAAGAATGTAATAGCAGCCATGTTGGGTCAGACCTATGGTCCATCTAGTCCTGCATCCTACTTCACATGACAGCAAACTAGACACTCTGGAAGGTCCGCAGAGCCTCCCCGCTGATATTTAGAGGGTGTCTGCCTCTGAACATGAAAGTTCCATTTAGTTATCATAGCAGATAACCACTGATTGATCTCCCCTCCAAGCATTCATTCAATCCCTTTTCAGGCTAGAGGACATCACCACTGTCCACAACAGCAAATTCTACACAACAATCATCCTTTGAATGAAGATGTGTCCGTTCCACCTCATTTTCTTACATAATAAAATAGTACTGTAAAACATTGGCTGGATTGTGCCACAGGCCAGTTCCAAGTTGGGGGGCGGGGGCGGCAGTGCTGGGACCTTAAGCCCATGACTAGGCTCCTTTTCTTGCTCAGCCACCCACATGCCCCCAGCAGCTTGTGCATCCTTCCTCTGCCTGCTTGCAAGCTTTCCCATCACTGGAAGTCACAACTGCCCACACTGGCCACATGCCATATCCCAGATGGTGTCAGGCACAGCTTGGAGCACCAGTGCCATGGCCACCAGGAAAGCTGATGCTCTGTGCACCACCCACTTGCCCTTCTCCAGCAGTGCTAGGCAGCCTTTGCAGCTGGGAGCACAGGTGACAAAGCTGTGCAAACAGAAGGTTATGAGTGCGAGCATGACCGGAGATGCATTTTGGGGAGTTAGCAGCAGCCACAGGCCCTGGTAGTTGCCCCACCACAGGGTACGCTGACGCTGGCCCTGACTGAACCCACTAGTTTCATGGGAATAAATTCTAGACCAGAATGGTAAAGGAAAAGCATCAAAGTGGAGAAGATGTAAAGAATTTTCTAGGATGGAGAAAAAGGCAGCTTCCACAGCATCTACTACAAATTTGTTAACGTTCACTATCTTCACTAAATTTAGAAACTAGTTACCAAACTCTTAATGTTGAATATGGCATCAACAGTATATGTTGTCCACTGATCTCACAGGTTTAAATATTCAAATATATTCACATATAAAACAAAAGTTATGCATCATTTTTTAATTTATGTTGGGTTTACCGTAAGTAGTCCATACCTTTCCTGATAAGTATCCTTTATTTTTCTCCTGTTCTAAGAGATAAGCAGCGTAGCCAACGTTGTCACTGCTTGTAAGGTGGTTGGTATTGTTCATGCTGACGGGGTGAATTGGAAACCAGCTAGTAAAAAATCAGAAGATAAATGTTACTGGAAATGCATTCATCAAGACAGAGGCTTGTTTCAGACACGATGTGAAACCTTGGTTTAATTAAATGAATTATGGTTAGTGTGACCATCTGAACAATGTCACTTTAATAACTACTAGCCTGATACCTGTGCTTCACTACAGTATTTAAGCTCCGTAAATCCAGTTATATTACTGATGATGTGAAATTTGAAAGGTAACATTTGTTGTAGGAATTCTAATGGAGAAGATTTGTAGTGTAAAGGATGAAGTGAGACATACGCACGTCTCCCCCCCCCCCACCGAAGGACCTCTCTGTAGACCACAGTGGTGGTTCTGCCCTCAGGTGCTAGGATCACCAGGCTGCTCACCAGCTCACTTTGGAGCAGGCTCCTAGAAAGGTCCTTTACTATCTCCCCATGAACATTCATAAACTCAATTGCCATGCTGGCTGTTATGAGAAATGTCCATTCAGGAGTCTTGAACTGCTGATTTCTGTAACTGTTCCCAACTGTCTGCAGTCTCTTTTAACTGTGTTTTTACCTCAGAACACTGAGATCCACAGCTGAGTAATCAGAGGGAGGTGGGTGCAAGCAGGCAGGTTTTACCTCAGAGCTCTGAGCTACACCGTTGACCGGGGGTGGGAGGGGAAGGAGGTAGCAGCCTGCTAGGCACATGGAAAACAATTGGGGGAACATATTTCGCCCCCTTTTTTACCCCCTTAGGGTCATGTTTCTCAGAAATCTCTTCATAATGGGGGTTGATGTCATGGTAGGAATGCACTCCTCTTATTTTGAGTTTCTTGGTGGAGGGGTTTGGCCTGGGCATTGGATTTGTGTGTGTGTGCACGTGCAGGGCATACTTTTTTAAAAAACAAAAATGTTTCTCATTTATGTTACATTTAAGAAGTGGGACATAACTACGTATTCAAAACAACATCCGAGCAATCAGATATTGAGCAAGTTCATAGCAACGAATTTTCTAGAACCCACATTGTGAGAAGTAAAATTACCTAATACAGGAAACCACTTTTCTACAAATTTGGGGTATATTTCCATAGTGGGTGGGAGTGTGGCTAAACTGGGCCAGCAGCATCGCTAAAGTAATCCTGCTGGGACGGCCTCCCTGATGGATTAAAGTACCCTGGCCCTGCTCCTACACGCGAGAAACACCTGCCTTTCTGCTGTGGGGAGGGATTGTGTTTAAAGGCATCAGGGAGGCTGGGCCAGCAGCAACGTTAAGGAAATCCTGCAAAGCAAGCCTCCCCTATGATTTTAAGGACTCGGTGCCCCTTCCAACCCTTGACAGCAGTTGTCTGTCAGTTGTAGGAGGGGTAGAGTGTCTGAAGGCATCGGGGAGGCTGGGCCAGCAGGATTGCTAAGGAGATGCTGCTTGGGAAGGCTCCCCAATGGATTTCAATGCTCTGCCCCTGCTCCTGCACCTGACAGACAACCGCCAGTCATGTGGAAGAGGGGTGTGTAGGAGTGTGTCTAAAGCCACTGGGGAGGCTGGCCCAGCAGCATTGCTAAGGTGTTTCAGCTTGGGCAGCCTCCCTGATGGATTAAAGTACCCTGGCCCTGCTCCTACACCTGACAGATACCCGCCTGTCTGGTGTTGGGGGGGAGTGTTTTTAAAGGCATCAGTGAGGCTAGGCCAGCAGCAGCACTAAGGCGATCCTGCTCAGCAAGCCTCCCTGACGGCTGTAAGCATCCCACCCCCTCTCCTACACCTGACAGGCAGCTGCCTGTCCAGTGTAGGAGGGGGAAGGGAGGGGTATTGCAAGCCATTGTGGAGGCTGGACAAGCTCCCTGATGGCTCTAAGCACCCTGCAACCGCTGCTGCACCTGACAGACAACTGCCTGTCAGGTGTAGGAGGGAGAGCATGTTTGAAATTATGGGGAGGCTGGGCCAGCAGCTTTGCTGCACCTCACAGGTGGCTGGCCACTCCTGATTTCCTCAGCTTTCATGAGCTCCACAGAACACTGAGCTCTGCAGCTGACCAATCAGAGAGTGGGGGGTGCAAGGAGACAGCAGCCTGGCCGCCACATAGGAAGCAATGGGGGGAGCACATTTTACCCCTTTTGACCCCCTTAGAGGCCGAATTTCTAAAAATCCCTTCTTAGTGAGCATCTACGTCATGGTAGGAGCACTCTCCACAAATTTTGTGTTTCCAGGTCCAGGGGTTTGTCCTAGGGCTGCCAAGTCTTGTTGAATCGCAGCGGGGGATCGTCATTCTTTACAGGAGCTCTGCCGCGGGGGACGGCAACGGGCGTTGCACCGCCGTCGCCAGGATGTGACGCTACGCGTTGCTCTGGCAACGGGACTCCAAACAGCCCCGTTGCCAGAGCAATGCATAGCGTCACACCAGGCGATGGCGGTG